GCATAACGTCTTTACGGCCACATCAAACGGGAGACTTTTCAGACACGCACTCCAACTTCACCTTAGCACCAGGCACTTGTCAAATGAGCGCGGAAAAGGTACAGGTGATAAGGGAGCTTCAGTAGAACAACAGTGAACTGTGGTCAGATGAGATGTTGTCAGGCCATATGTCAGTAAAAACGAATCTTCTATCCTGTCAGCAGTTATACTGTGCTCGTAGCGCGTGTTCTTCAACGCCACACAAAAACTGCACTGTAGCCTGTATCATTTCATATTACAGCAAAAATGAAACTATAACCCGCCAAAATAAAAGCTTGCTGATTTTAAGTTTGAAAATGAACAATTTAAATAATTCAAATTAAAATAATAATTAAGGTTCAAATTAAAATAATAATAATAATAATAAAATGTTTAAAAAAATATTAGCATTTTATTTTTAAGTTTACTATAAACATAATTGTATTTGTATTTAATACTCCCTTTTTATTTTAAAATAAAAAAGTATTATCACACTTTATTATTAAAAAAAAAAAACTAAATAAAGTGCAATAATATTATCACTATTATTATTAATTTATTTTCTATAGTTATATTTAATGGGTCACACCATGTGCCGTGTGAGGACCAAACCAAATCTCCAGGTTCTCTTCTGAGAACCAGGCTGAAAAACGTATGTGCACCCTTGGTAATGTTAGTATAGTCAACATTACATATAGTCAATGGTTAAATATTAGGGGGAAAAAAATTTCCTAGAGACATCACTAGTATTGGTATCAGTGATACTCGCCTTCAGTCATAAAAAATATGCCATTAAACAAATATTAAAATTATATATTTTTTAATGTTGTTTCTACATTAATTTGAAGACTAAATGTGAAGTTACTGCAATATAAATGTATATTTAAAAACTTTAATATTAGGTGGAATTAATAGTGATTTATTTCAGAAATAAATTGTGATTATTTCATTTTTTTTAATCGATTGATAGCACTAGTTGTAACAAAAATGAAATAAAATAGATGATAGTAATAATAAACTACAAAATGAATATATTTAAGATAAATATAAAAAATAAAATTTAAAAATATAAAACAAAAGATAAGTTAAAGAAAATTAAGACAAAAAAAACCAGATACAAATATTCTAAAATAATGGGGGGGGGGGGGTATTTGTTTTTTTTTAATAATCTGAAACACAATAAATAAAAATAAATAAAGATTCCAAGCACCATACTGTGTGGTTTGAAATTAGGGATGCATCGAATTTTCGGCAGCCGAAAGTTATCGGCCGAAAATGGCATTTTCAGTTTTCGGCCGAAAGAGAAAAAAGGCTACATATAATAATAAATAATATGTATGGCGCGCCGCGCCCGGCAGTGTTCAGCGCGCAGGTTTCACTCTCCTCATCACTGCGCAGTTTGACGCTCCGCTCAATATTCCGCTCTATGAATGTGCGTTCCGCTCGTGTACCGCTCATGCTCACCGGGCTTTGTAGGACTATTCATTATTTGGATAATTAGTCCAAAAAAAAAACAACAACTTATATCTGATTCTGTTGAGAAGTGAACAAAAATAATATATTGATATTTAATACTAAGGTAACACTTTACAATAAGGGTCCATTAGTTAATGTTAGTTAATGTATTAACTAACATGAACGAACAATGAAAATACATTTATTACAGTAATTATTAATCTTTCTTAATCTTAGTTAATGAGAATACAGTTGTTCACTGTTAGTTCATGTTAATTCAGAGTGCATTAACTGTTAAAGGTGACATATCATGAAAATCGGACTTTTCCAGGTTTTAAGTGCTATAATCAGGTCCCCAGTGCATCTACCAACCAAGGAAACGTGAAAAAAATTAACCTAGTAACTTTGTTTTGGGAAGCCTTTTTCTGCATTTTCGCAAGCGACAACGGTGTACCGGTTCTAATGCCATAGCGAAAGTTTGAGCAAAACATACTAGCTGTTCTGCCTTTGTCTGCACAGACGAGCACAGAACACTATTTAGATCTAAAATAAACATGCGATTTATTTTGCAGCAGTTTACCTTCACAGACATAACCGACTGTTTTTGTAACTCGTGTGTTTTTTAACGTAAACTTGTGTGTGAATGAAAACTTAGTTTAGTACCAAGTACTATAGCAGCCAGCAGCCATATCACCCTGCAGCCCAAGATTGGTGGCCCACTGAAGCTAAGCAGGGTTGAGCCTGGTCAGTACCTGGATGGGAGACCTCCTGGGAAAACTAGGTTGCTAAAAGCACCGTCTTTCGGATGAGACGTTAAACCGAGGTCCTGACTCTCTGTGGTCATTAAAAATCCCAAAAAGAGTAAAAAAAGAAGAGTAGGGGTGTAACGCCGGCATCCTGGCCAAATTCACCAATTGGGCTCTGACCATCATGGCCTCCTAATGATATAATAAATGATCTGTGGAGTATTTTGAGCTGAAACTTCACAGACATTCTGGGGACACCAGAGACATAAAATAATAAATAATCATTACAAAGCATTTTGGTGCATCCAGAATTTTCGGTTTCGGCCTAGAATTTTCATTTTGGTGCATCCCTATTTGAAATACATTTACTATTTATAAGAAATCCATTTTCGTCTGAATGAGAGTAGTTTTTGTAGTGTCTGGGACTCTAGGTAGTAGGGCTGTGCGATTAATCGAAATCGAATCGAAATCGCGATTTGAGACGTTGCGATTTCCTAATCGCAAAGCATGCGATGTGGACGCGATATTACTCTGTTTCAGAGCATATGCATGACTGCCAGCCTTGAGTTGCAGTCTTACTAACCAATAGAGTGAGCGCACCTCCGTTCTCCCCAATCAGCACTGCTCTAGCCAACTGCGTAAACACCCCCCATTTAAAAAAAAAAAAAAAACAGAAAGCGGGAGAGAGACAGAGTGGGATTATGGCGTCTACTGGGTCAGATCGATAGTTAGCAAATTAAAACTAAAGAAAACAGTATGCAACTTAAGCTTCGAAATGACAGACAACGAACAAAAACGGTAATTTCCAAGAGCTGCGTCACAGCGCATATCAAAAGCTCCCGTATCGGTTCTGTTTTCAGTACTGGAGAATAAAAGATACATTCTTAGATGTTTTTGTTAGGACGTGAACGTTATCTTACACATTTTATCTCCCCAACAGATTAATTTGAAATAAGTTTATAATGCATGTTGGCTATTCCTAATTCAGAAGAGCGCGCACACAGCCTGTGTCTGACTGCTTCTCATACTCGCTCCTCTCTGCCCCACCCGGCGCGAATCCCGCGTCACGGACGAGCCGTTCACGCTTGCCGCACTCACAGCCGGTCTCGTAATGCTCGTTTATACTCGCACCCGGCTCCGCACCGCAAGTCTTCACGAGCGCATCTGGCAGTA